ATCCTTCTTTCCAATCTGATGGTACTTGTTCCTCATCCCAAATCTTCTTGAAGAGAATGTGAAATATTTTAGCAGTTGTTTCCACATCTGCTTTCATTGCCTCTGCTGGAATGTTGTCTGGTTCTGCTGCTTTACCGCTCTTGATTTGTCTGATGGCCATGTTGATCTCTTCAATCGTAGGTGAGCCAGTATTAATTGAGAAGTCCGTGGATGCTGCTTCGATGTTGGGTGGATTCAGTGGAGCTGGTCGATTCAATAGTTCCTGAAAGTGCTCTACCCACCTATTTCGCTGTTCTTCAGTGTTGCTGATTACTTTGCCTTCCTTGCTTTTCACTGGTCGTTCTGGTTTACGATAGTTCCCGGCGAGCTTCTTTGTTGTTTCGTACAATTGTCTCAAGTTTCCTTCTCTTGCAGCCTTTTCCGCCGTCATTGCTAGATCTTCCACATATTTTCGTTTGTCAGCTCTGATGCTCTTCTTCACTGCCCTGTTTGCTGTGTATTCAGCTTGTGCGGTAACTTTCACCGCTCTTGTTCGGCTGACATTGATTGCTGCCTTCTTGTTCCTCCTTTCTTCATTTTTTGCAAGAGTATCAACAGATATCCATTCCTTATGATGGTACTTCTTGTGACCCAGAACCTCCTGATATGTTGAAGTGATTGCCTCCTTGATCCCTTTCCAATTGTTCTCCAGTGTTGCGTCCTCTCCATTGAGTAGATCCTGAAAGGCCTGGAACCTGTTGCTGAGGGCTATCCTGAATTCGTTCAGCCTTACAGTATCCCGAAGAAAGGCCGTATTACATTTCTGTGATGTTGTCTGCCCCGTTGTCCAGTTAAAATTGTTTGGATTGTTTCTTCTGGTTAGCGTTTTTTTGGCAAGTTAGGTTTCGACGGGACGGGGTCGCCAACCCCATCTCCAACCCTCCTCCTTTATCCGGGCTTGGGACCGGCAGTAGCCCCTAAGGTTCTACTGGCGGAGTTAGTCTACGTCACAGCGATCAAATATTCCGCGGATCGACAAGTTGACTTGGTTGATAAGAATTCGCATGTTGTTAGGAAAAAGAAGGAATATGACAGTAGAAAATAAAGCATAAAATCATGCGGAATATTTGACCGCTGTGACGTAGACTATTCCGCATGATTTTATGCTTTATTTTCTACTGTCATATTCCTTCTTTGTCCTAAC